TACAATTTTTTTATTAAAATATATTTTAGAATCTTTTTAGAACATATTTTAACGGTGTTAATAGTTTGGACTAAAATATATGTATTTTTTAAAAAAGAAGAGATGTCTATTTAATTAAAGTGAAATATAATGGTGATTAAAATATTTTACTCAGTAATAAATTTACTGATTGATACGTGAAATAAAATATGAATGATCATAGCATTTTTCTATATATGCGGATATGTACGTAGAGTCTTGATTTATGAATTTCATAAGAATAGGCTCATTAGGAGTAAATCCCTTTTTGTATATTTTGAATATTCTATTAATTTCTAGTTCTCACAAAACAGTCCCATAAGAATCAAGAATTGTATTGATGTTTGTGCGTGAAAATCTATTTCATTAATCTCACATAGATGCAACAATTGAAACATCTATTATCAATATCCATGTGATTTTGATGCAAAGCATCATAATATATATAACATGTGATTTTGATGGATGAATAACAAAAATCTCCATCGAATTATGTTATTCATTTATTACAAAATTAAGTATAATAGTCACAAATATTATTGGTTATTTATAATTGGAACTTGCATTGAAGGCCCTCAATAATCCTTTTATATTATATACCATGAAAAGCCGGTAGAATCATAAATTCATGAAATACTTAAATATAGAGATCAGACCAACGGGGGTTGGTTTAGCGGAAGGAGATGGTCTTCATGTGAAAAATTAAATTTGAATCATCAGTAAAAGAGGTGCTCGCATTTATTGCTGGTCCTATAAGCAATTAAAAAAAAAAAAACACACAAAGATTGGGAATGGAATGAAGTACTTCCCACGCTTGGAAGGATAGATGATGCAAGACATACTCCCTCTAATCTTATTAATAGAGTAGAGAAAAAAAATTTTATCTTATGTATAAATTATGTCATTAAATTTTTATTTTAAATTTCTCTTTTTACCCTCCATTAAATGTTGAATAGAAAAATATATTATTAAAGTATGTATATTTAATAAGGACAAAGTTAAAAATGTATTAAAATTTTAGATAGAATGATTTTTAAGATTTCCTTTAGTTTTTACTAAATATATTAGAAGTGACTTATAAATAGAATCATATGAGTATACTCCTAATTCTATTTATAGGGTAAAGGGAGAAAATATTTATTTTGATTTTATTTTTAGGGTACCTCAATTATTATTGTGTACCCTCTTATCCCTATTATATATACTAGGGGCAAAGTTAGAAACTTATTGAATTTTTAGACAAAGGTAATTAAATTTAAATTTTTCTTAATTCTAGTAAAAATATTAAAAATGATTTATAAATAGGGCAAAAGGGCAAATATCTATTCAGTTGAGTTATGTTAAGGTTATGTAGAAAAATCAGAAGTTAATTACCAAGGTTAGCTCTTCTTTTGTTATTCCCAAGTCAACAACAACAACAACTAGTCTTATCTCACTAGGTGGGGTTAATTATAAAGATTGTATGATTCTATTGTGTTTTATCATTTACTAAGTTTTTAAAAATATTATTAATTTAGAGGTATTGGTTAACAACTTTCATAAACGTTATCTTTGGCTTTCTTTTACCTCTCTTAACAGGATTCAAAATTATCCGTTTTACTCTCTCCACTTGTGCCTTTTTCGAAGCTTTCTTTATACATGTCCAAATTATTTCAAATGACTTTTTTAATCATTTTTTTTAATAAGTACTATGTCCACTTTTTCTCATATGTGTTCATTTTGAATTTTTTTCTTAAATGTATGCTCGTACATTCATCTCAACATTTTTTCTTTCTACTACCCCAACTTTATACTCTGGCTATTTCGTTAAAGTTTAACATTTACTTCTATATAACATTGGTTAAAAGACATTGAAAAATATTTTGGGGAAAAAAATTCCCAGAATTCAAAAAATTTATTCGGCGTAGTCTCTCATGAAGCCATTGCCATAAATGAAACATTGGTTAAAAGACACAGGTGGTGTACAGATGTTCTCATACTTGTCCTGTTTGTGATAATACAATTGAAATTACAGAACATGTAGGAAATAAGTGAAATAAACAAACAATTCAAGTTTGGGTCAGAAACATATCAGATCTGAACATAGAATAATCAACCCAATAACCCACATAAAAACAAGACTACTAGAGCCTTATTTTGAGGTGTAGTAGATACTCAACTTTAATGGATCTTTATCCTTCACCCAGCTAGTTCTATTTATAATGTGGGTGACTGAGTTATACGAGATAAGTCTAATTTGTTAATGAGAAGTATATAGAATATGATAAAATAAATCCCAATATAATGTAATATCTTAATCCATAAGATATATATTGGATTTATTCGAGAATCAATGTGTTGTTTAATTCTTAAAATTTAATTTAAAAAATCTCCAAATTCCAATTAAGGGAGGATATTCTAATAATCTAACAGAACATTGGTTCTTCTTGTGTTTGTGTTTGGTTTGGGTGTGGTTTAACACTAAAGAATGATGCTCTTAACGTCAATAACTTTGCTGAATGGTGGGTCTATTATTTCTTCTCACAATAGCTTGTTCACTGAGTATGACTTTTTCCTCCTTAGCTGTTTACCATTGCTGATTTGGAAAGCAAGTAGGGACGGATCCAGAACTCAATCAATGCGAGACCACAAGGCAAAGCTATATTATATTGAGGGGTCAAAATTAATTTTAACATTTTTAACATGTAAAAACAATGTAAATTTAACAACAGTTTTGAGGGGGGCAAGCAGCCTAAATCGGTATTTCAAAGCAAGAAATTGAATGATAGTATTTTGAAACTTTTTGATTTCATTTATAAATTATTTTTAATATTTTTATTAAAATTAAAAAAAATTAAACCTCATTAATTTTATCTAAAAATTTAAAAAGTTTTTAATTTTATTATAGTAAATATATATTAAAAAATTAAATATTTTAATATTTAATAATATTTTAAGTATTTAATAAAGATAAAAATAAAAACTATAACAATTATTAAAGTGTTTTATAAATATGATTAAAGTAAATATTTTTTTTAATTTTATAAATAAAATTAAAGAAGTAAATGTTGCTTTTGAGTTTTGATGGTTACGTGGGCGTTCGCTTATTTGCTCTATCTGTTTCTTGCTTTTGCTGTAGGCGTTATTTGCCATCAGTTTGCTTTCGCTACTCATGCTTCTTTTATTTTATTTTCTTTTTTTATTTATGTGGTTGATGGAATATTCTCCTAGCCTAAACAAAATACATCTCATCATATGATAAAGATTTAATTAGAGAATTTGTGATAAAAGGATATAATAAATCTAAATATATAATTAGCTTTCTTAATAAAGTGTGTGTGTGTATAAGGCTAATATTTCTTAGCATTTCCAATTTTATTTTAAGGGGCAATTTGGCACTTATGTACTAAAATTTCAAGAACATTGACTTGGATGTTAAACTCATTTTTTATATAATATTTTTTTAATTTTTAAAAATAATGTAATGTAATCTATCATTAATAAAAGTTAACTTTGATAATAAATTAATAAAAAATAAAAAAAATTACAAAAAATGGCCTAAAATTACACATAAAGAGCTCAAAATTTTTAGAAAAGAACAAAAAAAATTCTTTCATTAATTAATTGCTAAAGTTAATTTTTCTTAACAGTGAGGGTAGCATTAATTGCACAATTTTCAAAAATTGAGGAAAAATATTGCACAAAAACAAAGTGTAGATCACTAACACTCCTGAACTTATAGTTTATAGATCAAATTATTATTTAACTCTTTTATTTTGAACTGATTTTTTTATAATATTTGAATAATTATTTTTGAAATAAATATTTTAACTCTAATTACAAGTATGAATTAGTTAAAGAAAAAAAAACCTTCACCAAATTCATGCTTCTTATTACACGACCAAAAAAGAAAAGGTTGCAAGTGTCATATCCGATGGCAATGAATGCATTTAAATCACATTCGTATCATAATAATAATCAATTAATACACATGATTTGTGAGTAAGATTAATGTTGACAAAAAATCAAAAAAACATATTAACACTAATACACACACTTATACTCCTTCTGTTAAAAAATATAAAATATTTTTTAAGTATAATGTTCAAAAATTATAAGGCATTTTGGGTCTTCTAAGATTTAATTTATGATATATATATTTTTTCAAAAAATACCCTCAACTAAGGGATGTAATTAATAAGTTTTTTTTAATTGAGACATTTTTTCAAATAAGTGTACACATAAAAAAATGTGTAATTTTAAAGATAATTACAAATTTATTGATATATAATTTGATTAAAATACTTTATAATATTGAACTGAGTAGGTATATCCCAATCCCAGCAAACTTCTCCTTTTTATGTGGATAAATATACACTTCAATTGACTATTAAAAGCAAAAGTTATAATTTGGTCAAGTAAAAGTAATTGAGAAAAACATAATCTTTAATATCCAAAGTTTTATTGAGTTTTGCTTTTAGTCCCTTTAATTTTTTTTAAGTATTTTCAATCTCTATAGTTTTAAAAAAATTAAGTGACCTTTGTTTTTCAAGTCCTTATAGTTTTCATTTTTAAATTGTTTTAGTTTCTTATAGAGACTAAAAACACTGAAAAAATTACAAAGATCAAAAGCAAAACTCAATGAAACTATATGGAGTAAAATTATGTTTTCCCTAAAAGTAATCAATAAAATTGGGGAAAAAACAACAAAATCCTAAAAAAATGCAATTATACTAAATACAAATTAAACACAATTAGATAAGAGCCTAATTATGACCCTATCCAAACAGAAACGTTCCAGTCAATTGAACCTAGAATTCGTTTGATTAATTTCCAAAAAACGATGTATATAATTAACAAACCAAGATCCTTGAATATTGAAAATAACTATAACCTATATTTATCTTCACACAACCCCATATATACACACACACAGTTTCAGGCTTTATTTTCTGCAGTGAACCTAATAATTAATACCTCGGATTGATCGAAAACATCCCTTCTTTTGTTTCATATTATGTCAAACCTATCATTGGCTCTCTGCATTTTTCTGGGCATTGTGTTTGTTTCTTATGCGGAAGATACCAAGATAGGAATTTATGAGCTAAGGAGAGGACAGTTTCAGATCAAGTTATCAAACTATGGTGCTACAATTATGTCTTTAATTGTCCCTGATAAAAATGGTTTGTCTCTCACAATATTAACTTTTCATATGTTTTTTTTATGATTGAGATTATTGTTTTTTTTTTTTGTTCGTGTTCGTGGTCGTGTAATTTGTTGTGCCCTTCAAATTAATTTATGGTTTCTGTTGTGTCTGTTTGTTTCTCCAGGGAAATTGGCTGATATTGTCCTTGGCTATGATTCAGTTGACTCTTACAAGGTATGATAGACATAAAAGAAAAAAATTTGATTTAGTTTTGTTTCTGAAACATAAATAATATATATATATATATATATTAGATTCATATTAATGGTGGGTTTTTTTTCAGAACATTTTGGGAGAAGTTTCAAATTGAGATTCAGAAAGATGATGATTTCGTTGAATATGTTCATCTCAAAACGTTCAATGATTTTTTTCCCATCAATTAGAAAATAATATTCTTTTAATGAAAGAAAATTTGAATCACTTTTGCTTATGATATATATATATATATATATATATAATAGATTCATCGTAAACTGGTTAATGGAAGGGTTGTTGAAGAATATTTTGGGAATTTCTGGATTGAGATCCAGAAAGATGATGGTTTTTCAGTGTTCACCGAGAAATTTTTCTTGGCTAAAATATATTTTCAATTCTTTAATTTTATACAAGGTTTTAATTTAGTTCCTTACTTTTATAAAATATCTTACTAATCATTTAATCATAATACTATTAGTTTTAAATAATTTTTTTATGCCAACTATTACCATTCTAAAAAATTAAACTTAATATATTAATATTTGACAATGTTCTGTCATTATTTAAAAGTTTAATGTGAAAATTTTATATGATAAACTAACAGTGTTAGATTAAAGGACTTCAAATATACTTTATAAAATTAAAGAATTAAAATAAAATATTATATAAAATTAAAAGACTAAAAATATATTTTAACATTTTTTTAATAGAAGGACAATTAAGTTCTAGAAGAGGAAATTAATTACAACTAGGTACTTTAAAAAAAAAAGTTGCAAATGATGACTTAAATAAATAATTGTTAATTCTTTTTTGAGTAAAAACTCAATAATTGTTAATTCATGATTTCTAATTGTAAACAAGAGATTTAAAGTCTAAATGTAACTGTCAATTTACAAAAAAATTGTGGAAGATATAATTGTCATTAATCTCCTCTTTTGGAGCTTTAATATCGCTCTCCCTCATTTTTCTCCACCAATTAGAAAATAATAACAAATTTGGGTAAAAAAATAGACTACATACATACATATATAAATGTTTCTTAATTATTCCCTCCTTTTTTAAATATAGAAAATTTAATCATCTCATACACTTTAAGAAATTTGATTAATTCTAATAATTATATATGAAATAAAAAAGTATGAATTAAAATGTTCTTGTAATCAATGTTTAATTTTCTCTAATTTAATATTACTATTTATTTATGAGTAGAAATTTGAAAAAATAATAAATACTTCTTGAAATCGTTTTATTTATAAAAAAAAGCAATGAATCATATGATTTTTTTTATTTTACAAAAAAAACATACGGAGTATAATGAAGATAGGAATCATACCAATATTATTTCAATTTAATAAATCAAAATAATTTGGCAATTAATTAAAGATTGAGTATCTATTTATTTAATTGAATTAACAATTAATTGGAATGTTGCAGAATGATACAGTATACTTTGGTGCCCTAGTTGGACGTGTGGCAAACAGAATAGGAGGAGCTCACTTCACTTTAGATGGCAAAACCTACCACTTGCCTGCTAATGATGGCAATAACACCCTCCATGGTACATGCTAATGTTAACCCTTTAATCATCATCATTATCATTGTAATCAAAATAAATATAAATAAAGCATATAATTCGAGTTGGCTAGGTTTATTCGGGTTGTTTAGATAACTTTTTAATGTCATCATCTTAACAATTAATCAACTTCTTCAATATTAATTGTTCACTTGTTCATATACATCAATAGGTGGGTTCAAAGGCTTTGGAGATGTTGTATGGAATGTAGCTTCCTACAAAATGGACAGTCACATCACATTTACTTATGTTAGTTCTGACCAACAACAAGGTACCAATTAAATTTCTTTGCTCGTATGACACAAAATATTGAAGAAAAAAAATGACAGTTAAATTTTAAAAGTGAAAATTAATGAAAAATTAGCTCATCAATAATTTTTCTAAAAAAATAATATGCAACAATTTAAATAATTTTATATTCAAGGGTTTTAATTATAAATAAGGCATTTAAATTCTATATGTAACTCTTAGTTTGGAATTGAAATTATTATTTATAACTGTTTGAATTAATATTTATAACTCATTTTTTAAAAAATTTTATTAGGACTTGGAAAATTTTATCAAGGACTTAGCTGTCCCTAACTCTCTTTTTGAAACTTTATTATTATTCTCTCAATATTATTCAAGTATCTAATTACTTCTATTTTATGTTTTGATTTCAACATTAACTTGTTTTTTTTTTTTCCTGGAAAATTTTCTAGGGTTTCCTGGAAAACTTGAGGCTGCTGTGACATACATGTTCTATCAAACAAACAAGTTGATAGTGAAGATGGAAGCCAAGCCATTTGACAAAGCCACACCAGTGAATCTAGCTCAGCACACTTACTGGAACTTAAGGGGCCATGACAGTGGAGACATTCTCTCCCACAACATCCAACTTTTCGCCTCTCAAATTACGCCGGTGAATGGCGAACTCATCCCGACCGGCGAGATCAAGCCGGTGAAAGGAACCCCATATGACTTCCTTGAGCCAAAAGAAATTGGAAGCCAAATTCATGGCCTTCCTGATGGCTATGACATAAACTACGTGGTGGACAAGAACACTGTCTCAAGTCACTTCAATAAAGTTGCTGTGGTTAAAGACTCAGTTTCTGGGAGGAAAATGGAATTATGGTCAAATCAACCTGGTGTTCAATTCTATACAAGTAACATGTTGAAGGATGTGAAAGGCAAAAATGGTGTCACATATCATCAATATGCTGCCCTTTGCTTGGAGACACAAGGGTTTCCAGATTCAGTGAATCATCCTAATTTTCCTTCACAGATTGTTAACCCTGGACAGATTTATAAGCACTTCATGGTTTATAGGTTCACTGCTCAGTAAATAATACATAGGGAAAATCACTCACAAGGACCAATGAATAATGTTAATTACACACAAGTGCTAATAAGAAATTGATTATTATTAAGATGGGAACAAAGACTTTTATTTTCCTAAACGATGACTTGTTATTAGTTCTTGTTTATAAATAACATATTTCAGCGATCCTTGTGCGATTCTCCCTAATATATGTGAGAGAGAGAGAGAGAGAGAGAGAGAGAGAGAGAGAGAGAGAGTGTGTGTGTGTGTGTGTGTGTGTGTGTGAGAAGAACATCAATTATGCTTAACCTGTCATGAATATGTATGTTGGGATTGTTAGCTTCGTGATGGGTTATGAAACTATTGTGTCTAAGTTTCTTCCATTGAAATTGACTTCAAATTGATATACGAGCAACTTTTTGTGTTCTTGAAATTTATATCACATAAATCTATCAGTAGATTCAAATGACTCTGTAATCGTGTGTAGTTAAAAATTAGTAAATTTCAATTTTAAGAGAAGACTTGTTAGTAAATTAAGTATTTACAAATTAGTTAGTCTTAATCAATTAAAGTAAAGTAAGAGTAGCTTTGTCTCAAAGGTCATGATGGAATTGGATTCCAGTCTAATCATCAAAATTGGATTCCTTAACAATCACAATTCTTGTTCAACAAAACATATTTAAATTTGGGTTCCTTTTCTCAATCCATTTTCACTTTACCAATTTAATGATACCAAATGCGATCTAAGGGACTCTCAAACTATTACAAATTACAATGTGTTCTACAAGGAGTATAAATCAAGTTGTATTGTTTTACTATGATATGAACTGAAAACACTAAAAAAATTATAAGAATTTAAAGCAAAACTTGATGAAATTTTAAGAATTGATGATTGTGCTTTTTATTTTTTAAAAACTGAATATTCCAACCTCTATCAATTTGATCCAAAAATATAACAACTCATCCACAAATGAAAGTGAAACAATATTAAAACAAATATAAAAGAAGTTTACCGAGCGAAGTCAAAGTTAATTGGAAAGCATCACATGCTTTTAATTCAATCTGATTCAACTCCATTCCCTACTTTCAATTCTTTTGAGAATCTTCAAGAGAATTTTTTCACTATACCAAGTCTCTAACAAACAATAGATACAGCATTCTTAATATCTCAATAAATTATAATACTGCATGATTAAAAAAACGTGCACCCTCTTATAGTCACCTGCTCCTTTTGTTAAAAAATAAAAATAAAAGGCCCTAGTCGACTTGGGCTGAAGCAATCCAATTTTGCAGTCATAAGAACTGCCAGGGAACAGGGAATGACGAAATTATGCAATATTTTAAACGCGCACAGTTTTGCAATAAATGATTTGCATTAAACAAGTGTGTACATATAATTTTTGATTTTTTTGGGTAAAAACTTTGATAAAAAAGGGCACATCCTAATTCATCCAATAATATAACAAGCATATCAACGATTAGTTGTTTTAATAACAATGTCACATCCTTGAGGCCCTGAATTTCAACATGACATTAACAAATTTGTATACCTGCATGAATGTGTGAATCTCCCGTTTCCATATGGAAGGGTTAAATTATGGATAGTTGGAACAAAGGAACCACTTATCAATTCCTAAAATTTGAAACAATTGCCCCTTTCAATGGACGCATGAAAGAGCACTTCAAGTAATGAATATTAATTGAATAAATTAAAAAAATATCAAAAAACAATATAACAACCTTATGTTTGGTGCTTTTTGAGATTTTATTAGAATGCAAAAAAAAAAAAAAAAACACACACACACACACACACAAAAAATTTGTTTTAAATTAGAAAAGCCACAATGGCTTTTACCAGCATCTATCCTCTTCCGACGTTCTTTTTAAAAGCATGAAATGGAACGAGGCACAATTAAAAAAAAAAAAAAGATATACTTTCTTTTATTTTAACATCATGAACAAAATTTCACTACATAGGTCTAAAACTTAATGCAAGGGACACAGAAATCAAGTGTGGCTCCCAAATTGTTTCTGAATGTCCTGGAATGATATGGTAGCAGATCCTCTGCTTTTAGCCTTCTGCTGAGAAGGATGTTCCCTCCAACCAGTCATGTATATAACCTAATCACGAAGCACCATAACACAGTCACGATCAACGTAGATCCTCAGAAAGCTACAAATTTCTACTTCCTTCCCACAGCCAAGGAAAAAAAGGGGGAAAAAATTCTCTGTCTACTTCAATGCTGTGACCCTAGTCCTAGCACATTAAAATGAAGGGAACATGACACTAAAGTTCCCCAAAAAAGGAACTTATGACAGTTAGGTTTTCGGCAAAATTTTGCATCTACACAATTCACATCACAAAATAAAGCCACAAACCATATACTCTCAAAAGTGATAAGAATTCAATAAAAAATGGCTGAAGATATAAAAATTCCCAAGTTGACAAGTGAAGGCACAGAACCAGGAAGGCATGAGTTCACATTGTCAAATCATATAATTGAATACCAAAAAAATTACAAAAACTATGAAGACAGATCCAATCTGAATACAATGAGATATGAGAAGCCCAAGAATTTGAGTCAAAATATTTTGTCTTTGCTTACCTGGAAGGTTGCAGGAACTGAGCCATCTTCCGCACCAAACATTGAATCATAAATAGCTGCAGTTGCCAAGGCTGTGTCCCTCCTTAGGATCTGTTTCATTATGTGCAACCTTTTTTCAAGATGTTACCCAATAGCCTCTGATGTAGAAAACTGGATGAAAGAAGCATTTCTGATGCCCTAATTGGTGCACAATATAGAACTGGACATAATAGTATAAGTAGCATTGAATAGTAACACAAACTATTCACTACAAGCCCGTTGTATGCCCTAATTGGTTCTAATAGTAGTAATGGTGGCAGCATTGTTGGTGGTGACAACAGTAACAGAGTGAGTGGTAGCATGGGAACTAGGGAAGTGACAGTTCTGGCAAGGGTGTTGATACGACAACTAACAAGTATTTTAAAGGGGGGGTGGAGGGGGCAGAATTAATTAAAATTTTCCCTTCCCTTCCATCTATGATTGCCAAACAAGGGGAGAGGAACCCCTCTCTATTTTCCCATCCGAACAAGGGCCCTTGCCTCCCCTCCAACCAAATAAAGCCTAAGTGAGATGGGAAATTCTACCCCAAAAACTAGTCGTTGAGGTGGCAGAACCAACCTACTTATATACCTCATTGAGTATCTCTTACTATTTAATGTGAGACTTGGTATCCCATATTACCAAGTATCCATCAATTAATAGGTGCCCAAGTGGGATAGAAAACCTTACTCCAATAGGTAGCTATTATGGTAGGAAAATCAACCCACTTAAATAAGTCATTGAACACCCCGTGCTACTCAATGTGGGATTTGGTATTCCATACTACCAAGTCTCCATCAAATAATCTTTATTCATGAGAATAAAAATAATTTTTGTTATTAAAAAAAATTGCCAGATTTCATATCCTGGCGTGCTCCTTCTCTCTTTTTTGGCTCCTTCTCTCTTGGGTGCATTGTATTATATGGGGATAATATAAATAGCTCTAACCATACAAGTTTATACAATTCTTTACATGCACCAAATCCTACATCGACCTGGCATGTATTTGCCGTTACTATATCTCATGCAGACTCCTACGGTGCACCAAATAGGGCCTTAAACCCATACTGTGTAAAGGTGAAAGGGGAAAAGAAGTTTACAGTGTTCCTCTGAAGAAGAGCATTCGTTTCACCCATGGCACGCAGATGTTCTATAAGCTCAAGAGCTGCAACAGAGAAACAACCACAAAACAGAGACTGAGCATCGACATTCAAGAAAGGCAATCGTAAGATACACCAGTAGTGCTGACACTCAGATATAAACCATTCATGAGGCATAAAGATGATTAAATCAAAATATCAAATGAGATATTATTACTTCTGGTTTAGTATTGTTCTCACAAACCCCTTGACAGCCCCTTGACCAGAAGCTCAGGGACAAAATCTCATGCTTTTGGTCCCTCTCCATATTCCTTAGAAGCTAAAGTAACTCCACTTCAAATAACCAATAAGCCCCTTCAGAGTTGGCCAACATGAACCCCATGACACAACATTGGCCATCTAAGTAACTTTTAATACTGTAACCATCCAAGAAACCATTGTTTAACTGTCAGACATGTAGATATACCACAACTTTACACGTGGCTTCGGCAATATTGTACTTGGTGGTCATATTACAGACTAGCCAACATACAACAACAAGAAGAAGAAGCCTTGTCTCATTAAATAGGGTTGGCTATATAGATTGGAGGACCACTATCCAACATACAATATTAGATAAATAAAATATGAAACACTGGATGGAACATCCAGTTATAATATTTATCAACATTGTAAAAAGGTACCTCTACCAGCCAACTCAAAATGGAATAGAAAAGTGCAAATTGTTGAGGAATAACAGTAACAGATAAATAGCAAAAGAAAGAAGAGAAGATATGTTCCTCTAGCAATGAAGAACTTCCATTTCCCCATCAACCAACAAAAAACTCAGCTTAACGAGCATCTCACTTGGTGGAATTTGTAGGAAATCACAATACTATTATGTCAGAAACATTGAAAGTTCTATTATAAATCAAAATCACAGTAGTTTCTCACCACTTTCATATCTAACTATATATTCATCAACATCAACTCCTGGGAGAGTGAAGCCCGCCCTTGTCAAAAGATTCCCTGCATCTCGTACCTAATCAAACAGTCAATCAGGTATAGCCTTTTATTCAAAAAATTTCTGATAACACCCAGAAAAACAACACAAGTAAATGTAGAAAAGAAGATAGAAACTTGTAAAGAGAAAATGAGTGCAAATATCTTAAACACGCATAATTCCAATAATCAGTCCATATAAAATTGCTATTCACCCAATATACCAAATGATTACTTCAATCAACATCTCATCCGGTTACATAATTGTTATTCTAAACTTCTTAACATATAAATATATATAAATAAATAAAATTACAAAAGTTAGAGAAATAATCCTCAACAAATCATGTAACAATCCCGCTAACTTAATTAACTTCCCATCTAATGACAGCCCATGAACTTCCAGTCTAAAACAGGCCACAAATAGACCCCCTTCCCACAACTAACAGTAACATCTTACTGTCTTCCCAGTTATGATCTCATCTCAATGTCTCGCCCTAAAGCTCACCTTTCCCTCAATACAAAGCATAAGAAATCACCAATCTCGGTGCAATGAGAAGTCACTTGTGAGTGGTGCTAAGACCTTAGATCATGAGATCTAGGTTGGGTTAGAAGTGAATCGCGTGAAGATGGACTTGGAAAGATGGTAACAATATAGTCTATTTGAATATAAATTCATTGGCATGGAAAATATTTGCATGAACGCCCAAATGTAGTCAAG